CGATCACTCGGCTCACTTGAAACGAATTTTACAAGTGTGCCTTTTTGAGGGGGGGGGGGGGTTGGTGGTGGGGGGTTGCACCAAGAAGTACAAAAAAACAAGCGACGTATCAATTAAAGGGTGGTGGTGTTACGCATGACCAAAGCGTTATGCATAAAAAAAACAGCCTTCAATTTCATGCACAAGCGGTTAGGGAAAAATTGATGGCGATGACGATTGCGATGATGTGTTTGCGTTTTAACGCAGTGAACCGCATGTGAGTGCGTTACACGTGTAGAACAATGAACGCTCGCACGATGCATACCGTCTTGTGTTAGAGCAGTGAAGGAGAGCAAGTGGAGTGGGTGGGTGTCTTTTTTTTGTTACCTGGTAGACCATGATGCGAAAGTTGCTCCTCTTGATGAGCTCGGCGTGGTTGTTCTCGAGCTTCTTCACATCGTGGCTCTGCTTCTCCAGGCGAGCGCGCACGTCCTTCACGTTGGCGCTCACCTTGCGTGCCTTGTCCAGCACCTGTCTCACTGTGGCGCCCGTCTCGGCTTGCGCCTTCGAGAAGTCGGCCACCTCGCCCTGGATGAGACTCACGGCCTTCTCCACCTCGCCCTGCCGCGCCTCCATCGAGTGCTGTGCCTCCTGCACGCCCTCCACCATGTGCAGCAGCTTGTCCAGCAGCGTGAGCACGCTGATGGCGTTCACCTGCGAGCTGTCGCGGATGAGGCTGCCCACGGGACTCTGATTTGGGCTCAGGTTGGGGCTGGAGTCCTGGCTCTTGTCCGTGCGTGCCAGGCTGGCGTCCCGCTTGCCGCCGCTCGGCTCCTCCAGCGAACCATTTCGGGGTGGGCTGGAGGCTGCCTTGCCGCTCGGCTCGGAGGTGGACGCGCCTGCCTCGAAGCCGGAGGCCGGGACGCTAGCCTCGGGGCTGTACACGGGCGTGCTGAGGCCCTCGGGGCCGGTGGAGGAGCTGCCTTTGCCGGTTGGCTCGGGGGTGGAGGCCGCCTCCTCGAGGATCAACTGAGCGCCTGGGCTGGACACGGCCTCGCCGTCCAACTGTGCACTGGGCTGGCTGTTGGATGCCACCACCACCACATCCCGTGCTCCATCATCACCCATGGCTGATATCTACGAGAGCGCCGCACCACTGCAAGAACACGCGCTCCGACTGACGGGCACTGCGCACACGTGCACAGGGAACTGGACCCGTGGAAACGTGTTTGTTTGTTGTGGTGGTTGCTGCTGGTGGTGGAGGTTGTGGTGAGCTGGGGGAGAAGGAGGACTGCGTGGAGGAGACGACTCTTGCACGGCTTGGCAACTGCGTGGATCCCGAGCGGGGAGCGCTTAAAACGCGGGGACCCGCCTGGCTCCGATTACTGGAAAATATTTCACAAACTCTGGGCGGACAAACACCAGGGTGTGAGCCCGGACTTCTGCCCCGCCAGTGCGCGCCACGAATGTGGAAGGAATGCCTGGCGCCCCCCCCCCCATCACAACCCCCCCACCACCACCACCACCACCAAGCGCCACCACTCCTGTCCACCCACCTCGACAAAAAATCCAAGACTTTTTTTTCTTCACCACCCCAAACCCCACCGCCTCCTCCTCCTACTTTATTCAAACTCCCACTGGAAATAACGGAGATATTCTTGGAGCTCCTGTCGCCGCGCCGTTGTTAAGAGGCGCACCAAACACTCGTGGGTCGTTTGAAGTTTCCTTCGCCATTCCTCGCATTTTTGGGTTTTTTTAAACGCGCGTGCGTCTATGCCTGATGCCTGTCCACGGTACACAGATAGTTATGGTGTAGGCTATACAACAAGCGCGTGTGGTAGGTACGTATGTGTGTTTAGCAGTGGTGGTGCCGGTCCATGGGGGGGGGGGGGTGCTTTGCCTTCCCCCTTAATGTTATAAACTCCTCGCGAGATGACAGAAGAGATTTAGACAAGAGACAGAGGTGTAGCGAGATGATAGAGATATGTGGAGAGAAGATAAGAGGTGTGGTGAGATAAGGGAAGAGAGATACAGTCGAGAGCGATGTGACTGAAACATGAGAGAGATCGAGACAGGGAACAGATGTAAGAAGATGAAAGACGAGGACTGCCGACCATATGGGAGATGAGAGAGATTAATTCGCGTGCTTTGTTAATTGTCTTTTTTTAAAGTTTGTTGCGATCTAACTTGCGACTGACTTTTTTTCATAAATCCGGAGCCATTTCAGCTGCTTGGACCCCCACAAGCTCTTAGTTAGCTTATGCAGTGCCCCAACTCTGTGTGTGATTGGTGGTAATGTCTGAATCGGTCCTGTCCCTCCCCCTCCTTCACCTGGAGCAACCATGTCCCCATCAGAAACGAACAATGGGTTTCACCTGTGCCAAAAGTGAAATGTAAAAACATAACCCACACATGCATGGTAAAAGAAAATCCCCATAACCGACGTGGCATGAGGAGGCCTTCATCCAGCAGTAGAGTATTAAAGGACTTTATTATTGTTATAAACATAGGTGTATAGAGGTGGAATCTGATCTTTACCTCATACATACTAACAACACACGCAACATATAACAGGCAGATCCCACAGATTGAATATTGTGCCGGCACCATTGTACGGCAGCAATATCCAGAGACTTGTGTCATACAGGAGGTGACACACGGGCGTGGCCAAAGCCCTTGAGATAGGTGTTATTGCAAGCGTGTCTGAACCATTCTGTTTTTCAATACACAGAATCTCCCAATATCGACACGCCACGGAGCAGCGCACAGTTAAAGAAAGAAGGCTTTAAGCATCTACCAAGGATGTAGGGTTATGCTTATTATTTATTGTGTATTAATACTTATTCTAGTCTTAACATATTTTTGGGAAGACCTCACGTTTTCGAGAGAATAATCTTATAGCTGTCCACTGATAATATTGCTCAAGCTCAGATTTATTGTGTGTAGTGTTAAAGGGCAGTATCCACACCAACCCTGTCGAGTGAACTTGTCTAAAGGGAGGCATACAAAAAAACTCATGGCGGCACGACACAATGCTAAAACTATAAACAAATGTCAAACGCTGCACAGAATGACGAACAGTATATGCGCGTTTCCATCGGGTGTTCTGTGCTAGCTTTCACCCCCTACGCATGCCAGGTCTTAGCAACATATTTCGACTTGACTACGCATTTTGCATTTGTAAGGGGGCTGATTTCCCACTACCCAAACAAGGCACACCAACAGAGCATACGAGTTTTATTTTGTCTTAATCAGCAATGCATGACCACTGGGTCTTGGTTTGGGAGTGGGTTTTTTTGTTTTCTCAACGCGTGGTTGTACGGACTGGGGCGTGGGTTCTGGTGCGCGAGTGTGGGGTGGGGAGGTTTGTTGAAATTTTTATTTGAAACATTCGTCCTGTTTGGCTTGGGCTTGCGGCACAGTCCTCCACACAATATCTTTGCCAAAGAAACGGGCCCTGTTGTGGCAACAGTGGACATACAATTGTAATAGCAATTGTAGATGTCCAGCAGGGCTGATGCTATCATCATCTTCACAACCACCGTCATCTATCTGTACCAATACACTGCGTTTAAGAATATTGGGGCCAGCAAAGGGTCCTAAATCCTTTCACAAGTTATCATCACCATCAGTTTTCAGTCAACAGGCGTTATCTACATCTAAGTTTTATAATTTTTGGTATTGTCATGCCTGAGGCTAAGAACTTGAAATGCACAACAAAAGTAATCTGCAGCAGCTAAAATATTAACGTATATTGCAGCAACGTACATTATTGAAATATTTGCATTTCCCAAACATTATACTGGGATCATAAATGTAATGTATATAATTAGCATGGTAGTATCATTACCAAACTGTTTTAAAATATCATGCTTGTCTGCGAAGCATATTATTGATCCAAATTATTTGGTGATGCTGTGTTAGCAGTGGTGGACAAGCACAAATAACACATTCGTCAACGACACCGCCTTACAAAGAAAATATATTTTAGGTGACGTTTTGGGAAGTCTCCCTACTCCATCGGACATACAAATCATTATTATTGTTAGTCATCCATACGATTGTGTGTGGATGTGGGGAATGAATGTGTATAATCCACCCCCCCCCCAAAAAAAAAAGCACTTTGAGCGACATGGACGAAAGACTCACATGAGCGTGCATAACACTATGCAGATGGCGTGCAAGGGATGTGGCAGCCACACCCTGTAGCCCACACACAACCAGCAGGGACGGATTTGGCAGACGAGGAGTGAGGAGGGGGCACGTGGGTGGAGATGGGAATGGTGGGAGGAGGAGAAGGGGCAGTGCGTGGGATTGTGGAGTCTGGGAGCGCCGCATAAGAAATGCGGCGCTCAATCTGCTGCTCAGAGAACTGGCCTCAAATTGTTCAACCATTAGGTGGCGGCACACGCATTGGGAGGGAATGCAAGAAGCTTTAGTCAGCGAGCTGTGGCAGTGCAAAAATATCCGTTAGCAGATTGTAAAACAACACGGCATCTTTTATGAAAAGCCTACTCGTCTGCCTGGTCTTTACCGGACCTGCTTTTTATGGAATTTAAGTCATTGGTACAAGTCATGATTACCAGCTAGCTTTTTACATTGGTGGCACATTAGGAATGGACCACTCTTTTCATTATTTCTTCGTGCAGCAAGGGAGTAGAGTGTGGTTTTGTGAAAGTCCTTATGTGCTTGGGCTTAAGAGAAACTGTGATTGATTAACCGCACTTGGACACCAGTCACATGGTTAATGGCGACTCGGTTGAAGATTGCTGTGTGACACCACGTGCTGTTGCATTTTACAGATTTACCACAATAAATGTTTGCCCTCGATTTGGAGCACCTGCCCACGTCCTTCATTTCGAGTGTGCAACATATTTGAGGTTGATAAATTCTGTAATAAAGATCTTTTATGGGCGCAGTTACTTGTTTGCGCAGTGGTTGGCAGGCAAAATGTGTCTCGACTTCACTGCATAATGCACTCCGCGAGCCACAACATTATGGGCAAATAACAGCACAGCCGATAACAACACGAAACTCATTTTATTTACATGTTTTTTGCAATTTCAAGCAGGTCACACAAAAAACAGATGCTTGAAGCAAATTTCAGAAAGGAATTCTACACGATCTATTTTAAAGTGACCTCATGAGTGGCCTGCACAAAATCCTGCTCCAGGGGGTACCCGCAGGAGCAATACTCTTGGTTTACGAGCCGAGCTACGTGAATGTAATCTGCGGATCGTTCAGGATGGCACATCTGGGTCGTAGCAGTCATGCTGTATGCAAATTAACGATTTGCTTAGCAACCTTGTAGGAATTCTTTAACCTCTTTGTCCTCCCATCCCCCCCCACCGCCCTTCTATGGATTGTGTGCATGCCACTGGGCCTTGCTGGGTAATTTAACATTGGGTTTGCCCATTATAGTTTTTACACTTCTTATTGAACACACAGATCAGTACGTACAACAACGACAGCTTTCCAAACTAGCAGAGGGCTTATCCAGACGCATTACCAGAGGGGAATGATTTTGCACACTATTGGTAATTACTGTACATGGTTTTATATAAACAAAAGCAATTGGCAAAGTAGCCATTTAAGAATAACCCAACCTTTTCTGACACGTTACATTTTTTTGTCGACTCGTAGTTATGCAAAATGAAAGTTGGCAAAAGAAAATAAATAGAAAAGTGTACAATATATTAACTCACCACAGAAATAAATGACATCGAACGATATAAATATGTACTGCCTTGGCAGATTGTAGGTAATAATTCATCGATAAACAAGTAAGGCGATGTAACATACGCCTCACCTGTCTATTTACCATGAATAGTGGCACATGAAGCGAGCCGCATGAACAGACGTGCAGCCCTGGCTCTCAAGTTAGTCCTCATCACAGGGCCATGGTGGGGACAGGCACCTCGCACTCACTCATTCAGATGGCACAGTGTTCAGACGTTCAACATATGGCCACGGAGATGCAGGAGCGTCATGGGATATGGGGAGACATATGAGAGCCTTGCGGTGAATGCTTTTAAAAAAAACCTTTTCCTTGCAAACTTGATTTCTTTAAAATTCTCTCAAGCCCCACCAACGCATCACATTTGTATTAGTGATCCAAAAGTGGCTATTCCCAATCAATGCCACGGGCAGGTTTACTGGTGGCATGGGAAGTAAGCCATTAGAGTGTTTCGCACTTTGATTGAAGTTTCTGTTGTTCTTTTTGAAGAAAGCGTACAATTCACTTTTACCGCCGTCTTCTGTTTTTCGGGCATCTCCTGACAAGGCAAGAAAAAAACAGTTTTGTTGTACTCGAATATGTCATTACAATATAAAGCCAAATTAATTCTAGTATTCAGCGTTATAAAGTGTTCATAGTTTATGTGCTGCATTTGTATCTGTGCACCGTGCTTGCTGTCTCCATTAATTTTGAGCAGAGGGATATTGTTATTTTTGTCAATGATTTAGTGCAGTTAAAACTATAACAGAAATAATATCACACACATGAATACTTCACTTATCAAGACAGGATGATATGTCAGTAGGATTTCCTCAAAAATTGTACGTTTTTGTTTAATACTTGATTAGAGTAAGAAAACCTGCGTTAGGAGTCACAATGCATATGTATGAATCCACAAATGTATACGTGTGTGCATGTGTTAAACAGTGGATTGCCGCTAATCTGGATTAAATTAAGCGAGGTTTCACGTGGATAACAACAAAAAATCCGGATTTGCAAGGATGTGTACATAATCTCACGGTCACTGTAATGTACGTAACTTAAAGAAAATATAAATTTTCATCATCATCAGCCATGATCAATTCACTACTGCATGAAAGCCTCCTCAAGCTGTCATCTCTCACAGTTCTGCGATGCAACAATGCATCCAACATCTACACATGAGCTGATTACATCGCTACGTCTACCTGATGGATGTCCTCTCGGGTGTGTTCCCTTCAACGGCAATGTTGTGGTGGGCAGTGCCGTGGGGGGAGGGCCAATTTAGATTGGCCTTTTCCCTTCATGGCGTTTGTAACCACCACAGCGGCCAAATGGATGGGTGCGAGGGACTGGTAACCCCTCCACCTTCAAATTAACTACCACTAAATTACGAAACATATATTAATCTTGTGCCGGAGGCCCTGGGGGGACAGGCATCTATGACGTCTCCCGGCCAAACCCCATTTGGCGGAGCCAAGAGACTGGATCCTTACCCTCAGGGCTCCTCCAGAAACAACAAAAAGCCACTATGGATGGCCACGTGGAATGTTCAAATGCTCATTATGGAGGAGAGGCTACCACTCCTCTGTCGGGAGCTGGACGAGGACCGCCTGGACCTCTGTGGTATTCAGGAGGTCTGGTGGACTGGCTCTGGCTCCTGCCACCATGAGGGGTGGACAGTCCTCTACTTGGGGCAGGAGACTGCCAAACAATAGGGAGTAGCTCTTATTCTGAACAAAGGGGGTGTGGGAGCATGGCGGTGAGGTGTGGGAAGCTGTAAGCCCCAGGCTACTTTGGGCTCGCATTCCCATCAAACAGAGGCAAGGAGTGGTGGTTGTGGTTACTTATGCCCCCACCGAAGATGAACATCCGTGGAGGGATGCAGGCAAAGCCGATGAGTCAGATGCCTTCTATGACCTCCTGTCACAGGTGCTGGCTAAAGTGGCCCCTCGAGATAAAGTGATCTTGTTGGGTGACTTCAATGCCCAAGTTGGTCATGATGCTAGCACCTGGTCTGGATTGATTGGAAGACATGGGCCAGATCAGCTCAATAACAACGGTAGGAGGCTGCTAGATTTTTGTACAGCCCATGGGCTTGTAATTACAAACATGCTGTTCCGGGATCGGCACATCCACACAACATCATGGATGCATGCCGGGTCCAAGCAAGAACATCTGCTGAACTAAATAGTGATGGAACAGCAGATGCGGGCCCATGTCCTTGACACCAGGACCGACCGTGGAGCTGATCTGCCAACTGACCATCGACTTGTCATCTGTAAGATGTGCCTGCCATTCTTCCACTCCGGTGGTGGGTGTACACCCAGGACCCCATTCAAACCCATAGTGGCATGGTCTCAAATAGTTGATGAAAGTTGCAAGCGAGAATTTTATCATCGCTTGCGGCTGGGTTTGGCATCGTCCCCCACTCCTCCTGATGTCGAGGGGAAATGGGTGAGGTTTAGGACTGTGGCTCATGCAGCTGCAATGGCTGCTTTGGGTACACGGTCCAGACCTCCTCAGAGACCCTGACTGACAGAGGAGGTGTTCAGGCTGGCTGAGAAAAAGCGACAGGCCCACTCTCATCGTCTAGAGCATCGTACATCAGAGAATGAGGAGGCTTACCGCAGCCTTCGCGCGGAGGTTCAGAGAGCCGTGAGGCGCTGCAAGATGGTTGGTGGTCGCGGGTTGCTGAGGAGATTGAGTCTGCCTCAATGGCCCGCGGTCACAAATCTCTCTTTAATTCCATCCAAAAAGTAACCTGCAGCGCCACACCTATTACCATCGTTAGAGGAAAGAACGGTGATCAATTCTCCGATCCCCCAGCAACAGGTTTGCAGATTTGCTGAGCATTTCTGTGAGGTCCTGGGGGAAGGGAAATCCCTCAGCCTGGAAAACATCGTGGGACAAAGTGGGGATGATCCTGCTGAGGCTACGGTGCCTCAAATATTGGAAGAAGAAGTCACGCCTTGTGACTGGCTGGCTGAGGTGCCGACTGTTGAGGAAGTACTGAAGGCTATCCAGAGCCTGAGACCAGGAAAGGCACTGGGCAGAGATGATCTCCCAAGCGAAATGCTGAGGGAGGGTGACGTTTGTGCACAGACTGCCCTACATGACATTATAACAACAGTCTGGACCACTGGACGGGTTCCGCAGGATTGGAACGATACCCTGGTGGTCCCCCTCTTTAAGAAGGGGGACCATACAGACTGTAACAACTACAGGGGCATCTCACTCCTCCGTTTGCCGGGAAAGGTCAGGCACGCTGAGGAGAGTCTTGCGGAACCCCAATGTGGTTTCAGGAAAGGGCGGTCCTGCACAGATGCCATATTTTCTGTTCATCTGCTACAGCAGAGGTGTAGGGAATTCCAACAAGACATCTCTGCTTTATTGACCAGGTCAAAGCATATGATACCATCAGTAGGTCTGGGCTCTGGGTTGTTCGTGCTTTCGGAGTCCCTGACCCGCTGCTTACGATCATTAAGGACCTTCAATACGGTGAGCGGGCCCGGGTAAAACTACGCGGCCGGGAGTCGGAGCCATTCCCTGTTCACTTTGGGGTGCGACAGTGATGTCCTCTGGCTCCCACATTATTTAACATCTATGTTGACCACGTAGTTCATGAAGCGTTCAATAGCTGTACCGGAGGAATTTCCATCTGGTACAGACACAATGGGAGGCTGATCGATGCCCGGGTGCGGTCAAGAGATGACTCCCTATTGTTTAACCATGTTATGTATGCCGATGATCTGGCAATTGCTGCTCACTCAGAGGAGGAGTTGGAGGCACTACTGCTGAACCTTGAGCTTGCGACTAAGAGGTGAGGACTTACCATCAGCCCCACCAAAGCTAAGCACCTGCCTGGGTATTTTGTACCATCGGACACTCCACCCCCACAACTCCCAATTGGTGATAGGGCAGTTGTGGATAGAGTGGAGAGTTTCCCATACCTGGGCAGTTTGCTCATGACCGGCTCCGGTTTGACAGCAGTGGTCTCACTCCGAATCAGTCGAGCGGCATTATCTTTTCATCGGTTGCTTAACGCTGTGTGGAAGCGACCTGGTCTGTCGCTGCGCACGAAGCTTCAGGTATTCTCAGCCACAGTCATTCCCTCCCTTCTCTACGGTTGCGAAACGTGGACCCCCCTATTGGAACATCTTCACCATTTAGAAACATTTAGGCTGGCCTGCCTACGATCCATCCTGGGTTTAACCAGGCTGGATTGTGTGAGGAGCTTACATATCCTTGAAAGATCTGGACAAAGTCCCATCGGTGAGCTCCTCCGGCAGGCAAGGGTGGGTTGGCTGGCTCATGTGGTCCGCATCCCCAGCCACCACATGCCTAAACAGCATTTGTTTGGCCGGATCGAGGGGGATAAACGGGCGCGGCACGGGCTAGAGAAGAGATGGAGTGATGTGGTACAGGAGGATGTGGAGCTGAGTGGACTTGCCGATGACTTGTACCAGCGGTGTCAAGATCGTCCTCTGTGGAGGAGGCTCGTGAAACATGCTACTGGACAATTGGAGGCAGTTGCCCTCCAACAACAGCGGAGGGGGGAGGAGCAAAGCTCACAACAACGAGTGGAGCGCCGGGTGGCTAAAGCACAGCAAGTTGGCACAGTCGGGGGCACAGGTGGTGCATCAGCTAGTCGTCTCAGTCAGTCGACCCGTGGCACCTCGGTCTGCCCCAACACCTCTTGGCAGCAGGTGTTCGACACTTCATGTGGCCTCAACATGCACATAGCCTGGCACAAGCATCGTGGTGACATCACCGCCACTTAGTGGCGAATGGCGGTTGTTGTAACCTCCTTTGGCTGCGAATCTGTCATTATTATTGACCACCAGGTATCATCCATTCTAGTAGGTCATCCTGACCAAGCCCACCAATGCAGTAAACATGATGTCTCTAACTTATGTATACTCCCTAATCCCCATATTTGTATATTTGTCTCTCATTATAATTCTAAGCATGCACTTTTGCACACTTCTTTGTACTTTTTCAGATATTATTTCATTTTCCTTGTGAACGTCCATGTTTCTGATTCATATGCCATGTCAGACAATACACACTGATAAATTCAGTGCCATTATTATTTAGGTACATTTTTGCTGAACGTTGCTCTTCAATATTAATTTCAGTTGTATAAAAGCACAACCCTCTCTTCACATGCTGTTCCACCTTTAAGCACTGCCCCAAGTAGACGAACTCTAAAGTGTTTTTTACAGTTGTGTCCCTCTGATAGATAGCTTAACTTATTTCGTGAAAATTGTTGTACATGGCCTTTATTTTGTCCAGTTTTATCTTCAGCCCAATTTTGGCGGCCTTCTGAAATAATTCTCTAATTTCAAATCAGAATGTTGTGTTATAATCACTGTGCCATCACCTGCGCTTTTGTTTCTCAGATAAGATTTTAGTAACACATCTGTTAATGGTGCATTTTGTGAAAGTGTGTATCCTTTTCTTGTTCGCCTTCCAATATTTTGCTACTTTCTTCACACAATTTCAGTTTAGCTGTTCAATTTTTTAAAATTAATATTACATTTTTATATCGGCCTTGGTTTGTAAGAGCCTGGATGACAGAATCAATTTACAATGAATCAAATGCCTTATCATAGTCTGCAAAGAATAGGCGCAATATACGAGGGCTTCATTGGGGTATGAGTAAGAGTGCTAATAATACAGATGGTAACATTATTTCATAAATATAAATAACATTTTATTATAATAACATCAGCAAGTATTATGTATCGTACTCACGAGTGCATTCTAGTGTACTCCTATAAGGTAATGGTGGGAGGTGAGGTTAGGGCTGTTTCACTTCCAGTGCAGGTCTTAGTGATGCCTTCAGTCAAAATTTCTGTTGTGAGATTTCTTTTAGGTGGAGCCTGAAACTCTTTCCTGGTCTCGTGAGTTTTCACCTGGTGAAAAATACTGTAATAACATTGAAAACAAATCTAATTAATAAAATCGTTACCACAAATCGTGATAATCAGATTATGGGGGGGGGGCGTGGTCTGGTTGGTTCAACATACTGAGCTAATGATGAGGGTGGGTACATTTCCTCAATCAGTCCTCACTGGCAGGTGCTTTTTCGATGTTTTAATTTCATTTTTTTAATAGATATTTTCCCTAGGACAAAGAGCACCATAACAAATCAGTGTTCTACGGATCGCGCTAAGAGAGGTCTGTCTGTATGGAGTTTACAGAGCTCCGAGACAAGGCTGTATAATTGCCGACATCATCAAAGAAACCTGACCAGTTGTTGGAACAAAATTAGCCGACTTATTTACAACTAAAATATAAATTACAAGTACTCTTATTTATAATTTTGAGATTTTTGGCAATCTACTGCTGGATGAAGGCCATGGGGATGCTCTGACCATACGTCACCATACTGGTCAGTGCAGGTTGATGAAGGAGGGGGGAAGAAGATCAGTTCAGATATTGACACTGGTGTCAGCGATGGTTGGGGATAAAACTCTGAATGTTGGGAGTTCACTGCATTATGCTGACCAGGTTCTATCTGGCAAGCCTATTTTATTTATAGTATTGGCAAGTATACAGTGGGTCATAAAATAGGGAAAACTAATTGGACTGTAGGCTTTGCTCAATAAGCACACACACACTCAGCACAGCGTACGTACATACATAGCCACACTTTTATCAACAGCAGCAGTTGTTGGGAAAATATCGTTACCAGTATTCAGAGTGCAAATTATCGCTGTTATTTCATTTGCTACCAATACGGCTCCGAAGGCACAGCAATGCAAAGGCTGATACATCGTTATTTTACTGTTTTTTTCATATGGTGGATAAAAATACATTGCGTAATCTGCAATTCACGGTAAATTAATGACTTACTCGTGTATTCCTATCAATTGGGAAACCAGGCGTGTTCTTGCTTCGTTGCATTTGTTTTCCTTAGTCTCTGCAACTGTTCGAGTTTGATATTAATATCCCAAACAAAAATAATTAATTCCTTTATTACATGCGAGTTTGGCCTTTGCGTGCAGGTTTTGCTACCACAGCAGTCAGGACAGGAGATGTAATTAAATAATTTATATGGACTCATGAAATTTGTATGGATTTAAAGACACTGCACCACCAGAGAACATGGCCACAACAAAGAACAACAGCATCAACGTACAGGCAATCACTATGGCAACTTGCTTATACAGTGTGTCAGGCCTCAATGAACACATCAAATAATATCTGTAGGAGGGAAAAAAGGCTGCCAATACCAAAAGGTTTAAAGTTAAAGCAATTCCAAGACATATAAATGCACAGACTTTTCGAGGTCAGAAGTTCACAGTGGAGACTTTAGGTTTGGTGAATTTGAAGGTTTTGAGGATTACTAGCTGCCAGGACATGTGATAAACAGTGGCTATTTACTGTAAGATTTACAAATCTCTATGTTTTCTCCAAAGTTCCACCAACTGTTAGGTATGAAGGACAGACACCAAACAAAATTTGGGTGTTGAATAACAGCTCTTTCGGTGAAGGTTCTGCCAAAAATGCTAGATTGCCAAAAAACGAACAAATACATTTTAATGAAACCTAATTGCACAGCTTCTAACAGGGGAAGATGCTCCACTAAAGATCATCTTCTGCAAGGGGAATGAACAGTTGCTTCATATGCATGACTTCTTCTAGAAGGAGGAAAAATATGCCTATGGGTGTGAAAACTTTTTCGGAAGAACAACTGAACAAATTTATAGGAGAAAAGATAAGTTCTGAAGGAAGGGCGATAGTGAAAGTATCCACAACACGGGGAGGAAATGGGGAAAGCAAATCGGGGAGAATTGGAGAGATGAAGAGAAAAGGGAAGGGGGAGAGGCCGGACAGAAGAGGTGACACGGTGGAGAGATGCGGTGGAGATGACTGTCCGCAGAAATTCATAATGGTTGACCTAAAAAGCATCTAATATTGTAGAGCAAAGAATGCTCGATGAAGATTGCACAGCCTTGTTATTCGAAGTAAATTATTTTCGAACATTTAGCAAAGATAATTTATGGGGATAAAAGACACATGATGCAATAATCTATTGAAGCTGACCCTCTGAGAGTGAAAATTAGCTTTGAAGATATTCCTGGCTTGCTGTTTGACTACAAAGGGTAGACTGACCCGACAGATGTTATGTTTAATTAAGCACGACACGTAACATATATCCTCTCTTTCGTCGGATTGTGCTGAGTCAGGAGTGAAGGTCAGTGGTGCTGTTTGTGTCATGCTGATAAAGGGATGTTTTGTTCCTGGATAATAAACAAATGAAACATACCTCCCAATAACAAAACAAACTCACAATACCTGTACTATATCTATGAGCTTTATGTGTTTTAATCAATGTGTTGTAATGCACCGACGACGAAACACCACTAAAAAAACAATGTTACATTCTGATCAAGAGTGACATTCCGTATATCTGCACCCATTCCCATGCACAAGGCCCACTGGGACAATGCGAATGTGTGAGTTTTCTGGGTCCCCAAATCCAATGAAAACATACCTTGGGCCAGATTCAGATCATCTAAGCCTCGGTGTTTTTCCCGCCGAGAAAGTATTATTTTTGTGTTGGAGCCAAGCAACAAGTAAAAAGCTATATATATACGGAGGAAGAAAAGAAATAACCAGAAGGAAAAGAATACACGACCCAGGCAGCTAAATGTGATCTTAGTATAAAAATCCACTCAGGCAGTGGGGCTTGAAATGAAACGGAGAAGTCGTAGAAGAAGATTTTATGCCCAGGGATACAGATGGCTTTATTGAGGTAAATGATTTTTTTGCTGCTGCTGGTGACTGATTCTGAGGTAATATGAAGGATACATTGTCTGCTAATCTATTTGGTTACTTATTACTTTCCCCACGATGAGGTAAGACTGGTGGAAGAGTGACCTGGAGGCAAGGCAACAAATGAATGGGCTTATAAAAAAAAGTTTAGGGTTAGCTTTCAATAGAAATGCCTATAAGGCTCCAGGATGCCTTAAGCTGGATAACTGCTGTATAAGAGTATGGGTTTACGATTTAAAGTTCACAATGTTGTGTGATTTACAGGAAAGGTATGAATGTCAAGTCTGTCTCCTGATGTAATGGATTAATGCAAATGTTTTTTTGCCTTTTTAAAATACATTGAAACCGGGTTTTTTTTTACTCTTTAAAAATAGCAATGTTATGCACTACTGTACTAAACTACACAATACTAATTAGTTAATTTTTCAGGATTTCACTGCTCACGTTCAGAAATGCTTGTAAGCTAAATCTAAGGTAATGCAATGGAACCTCTTTGCATAACGAAATAAACATATTTACATATTACAAAAGAAATAGTAATATAAATGCAACATTTAATTTCTAATATCGAAGGGTGCAGGTGTGTGTCTAAAATAAATCCCAGAATTCACTACGCAAGTTTGTTGCAGTGATAGCAATGGGAAGGGTGTTTGCACCCAGTACTGATGGTAGGTATTCATTTGTTGTATATAAACTATCGAAAGGATTGTGTAAAATCAACGTAAATGTCCTAGTTCGTTAGTTGTGCAATACTGTATTCCTCAAGGACCCTGTACTCGTTCCCTGCAATATCGATGTTTTTGTCTTTGTTGTTGCTGCTGCTGATGTGCTCATGCACTACTGATCTCCCTTTTAAAATAGCTGGGCACCTGGCTAAACGGGATCATCCTTGTAACATATAAAATAAACTTAAATGTGAAGTTAACTGTAAAGAATGAAGACTGAGAATACAGGTACTGTTAGGATTTGTTTCAATTTCCTATGAGCTGAGTGATGAGACTCAATATATCCCAACCCTCATTCCTATACTTAGAGAGAAAACTATAATGAGGAATTATTTAATGTGTAAATAATATTGTCCCGAATGATGCTTAATCATTATGTAATATTGCCAACTAATCATTGATGATGCTATAAGTCTAATCCCCATGTTGCAATTTTTACAGAGCAGCACACAGCAAGTGTTACCCATTCAAACAAGTAATCTGCTCCGATTTATGCTCAGAACGCCTCAAGTTCTCAATAAGCCTAGAAACGTAACTACAAGTGATGTCACTTCTCGATGCAAAGGAGTGGATGGTTGACGGTGTGGGGTCCAGCCACATTAGACACGGTCTTTGTTGATTTTTTTTATCAACAATCCAATCCACACCATCTCACTGTTTTTACTCAAAATAGCAGCAGGCAAGTGACACTGAATTGAGAGACGACAGAGACTCATACTCTTCTACCTCACCAATTTAAGCTGAAGCTGCCGAGTTTTAAATCCTTTGCACGATTTTCAAAGCAAAAACAAAAAATCGCGATGCATATTTTTGCAACAATTCTTTTTACAACGTGGTACGAAGGTCAGCATATGTTTACAATGAAGGGATTCACGACTTGAGCATCCTTACCGCTTACATCGGCAGAGCCGTCAGGTAGGTATATACAGAGTGACATCACCTTGACGAGTCTTAGCAAAAGTTGCTCTGCAACAACAAAAATAAGATTGCCGTGCGTGCGTGAACTGGACCATGGAGCCTGGCTTGGGAGTGCACCTGGCCACGCAGACGACGAGCGCGAACGTGATGGTGATCTGCACGGCGCCCACCACCGAGGCGATGAGCACGTAGCGCAGGTTGTCTCCGTCAGGGATCACGTACAGCATGCTGCTCTCCTCGCTCTCACACTGCTGGCCCAGAAAGCCTGGGTCGCAGCTGCCCGGGCCACGAGCCGCACGTGGGAAGGGCCCCCCCCCCAACGGGGTTGGGGCGGAGGACGAGAAGGTCACCATTAAATCGACTTCAGTGTTATTTAGCGTTCGCATGATGCGCGAGTGCATGCAAGTGTGCACAATTGATTGAGTGCACTCGAGGATAGTGAGGAGTGGCGTCGTATTGGTGAGCTCATGGCGTCAGCCTGCTCGTGATCCTAGCTTTAGCTTCGTCTGCATGTAACGCAACGTAATAATTTTGTTTTGTCGTGGAGACTGTAAATGACAAAAAAAAAGATAAGCAATGTCTCCTTTATATATTTGGCTCTCCACGTAAAATTATAAAAGTATTTCTTTCACAACCAATTGGGCTAACAGCCTTCTGGGAGTGCATCACTTCAGCAACCTCTGGACCAGTTTTCACATAGTGTCTCATTAGCAGAGACAGGCTTGCTTGAATCAATGAATTGCCAAATGTTCTAGGCAAGGGCCCTGTCTTTTAATTATAGGTGCGAGTTCAATACATTTATACAATATATAACATATAATCATTTGTGTCGTTGTGCAGAATAGAAATAAAATCTATACTTAGAATTGGCAAATTAGTGTCCAAACCTGAGTGTCTTCCCTACGTTAACCCAGATTACAATTATACATTTGTGTGGCATTATTAATGTCAGCGCCGGGGATATGAAGGCTGACTACCCCTGGTGTGGCTTTATGTGACCTTAGGAGCCAAAGAAATCCCCCAAATGTTTTTAATATATTTAATATAATTGCATAACTGTTTGCAGTAAACCACAGTGGACATGATGCACTAATGGCACCTGTCACAAGAGTGGAGACGAGCAGAAGATCTCTGTGCCTGAGTGTATGGCTCACATGTGGTGCGTGTGTTGCTCACATGCAGGAGGCATGGCGTTGCGTGTGCGAATAATGGCATTGTCCGTTGCGACAATAGTTCTGGAGGCTCTCAGGGCAAAGCTCCCCGCGGTCCCTCACCACTGGCTCTTCTTGGTCACGGGTGCTGTCTGCTAGAACAAAACGCCACATCAATGCGATGGAGAGACTGTGGTGAACCTTGCTCTCTGAGTGCAAAGACCAGACTACGTACTCTTCAGTGATGGGCTCAGCCAGACCTTTGAGTTTAAAATGTAACCGCATGTGTCTATTTAGTTTACTGTGTTGATTAATAATGATCACGCATGATGCAATTCAATCTGTTTTTTTTATAACAAAATAACGTGGATGTACGATGTGCAATACACACAACTGTGGTTGATTAAGTGAGTGGCAACCAGTGGAAACCCTTGGTTTATGGAAAGTGGTAAAAAAACCCCACAATTTAGAGCTGCAAACAAAATCTTATTAAGAATCATGCTGGTTCTAAGGCCCATAATTGGCTTTTGAGAGCCATTCTGCAGAGACACGGACCTCTTGTCCTCATGGGCCACAAGATGCCAGAGCCACCAGATGGACACTGTTGGTCTCGCTCGTTGTGCGTTCGTGCACCAACACGTGGTTAATGACTTATTTTTGCCCCAGGTTTTCTCTGAAAGTACCAAATCTAACATTTGACTTTGCATACTTTTTAAATTAATAGTCAGCATGGCACTGAGTGTATCCCAACTACGATAGATGTTTCTTCCTGTAATCAGTTGACATTAAGTAAATGTGATCCATGAGAAAGATATTGATTTTATTGACAGCGGGGCATTGAACATTATTTTCTCGAACCTTTTTGTTACCATGAGTCCCTTTTTATAAAGCGTATGAGAAGTGTGGACCTTTCTGAAGGATTCGTTGGATCATTTGAATAAAGTTTAACTTCAGTGCACAATATGTTCTTTATATGAACAAGTACAGTACGTATAACTGACACAGCTCATGAATTACTGCTGGCAAAAAATCCCCACGGGCACTGTCTAATCATTAACATATGTGATCAGTACTCTGTATGAGGTTCGTGAATATGAATGAGGATTCCACTTTAACACAATGTGTTGAGCACCACACAAGAAATGTGAGTGCATTATAGTCTGGGTAAGGTTCCTTTTTTGAATAGAATTCTGTATTAAGAAAAAAATCATTATTATCCGAGCACTAGACAAATACACATTTACATGTTGGTGTATTTTTTTAAATCTGGGATTACTAATTCAGGCGGTTGACATGGAAGTGACTTTACTGTACCCATACGATGTCATAAAGTACAGTGGGGTAGTAATTTGTCGACATTGTTAGCACACTGTGTGGTATAGAAAAAGAAAGTGTGACACAATGTGTTAGAACTTAACATTTGACTCGTGAACATGATTGATTTAACACCTGTCTGCTGCATGAAATGTGCATGCAAAATAAATCATAAAGGTTTGGAAAGAAGCAAATCATGTCCTTTTATACGCAATGCCCTTTGACAGGAATCTTAAATAATGAATGGTGAGAAAGACGTGTTCGTGTGAAACAGAAAAGTACATTAATGACCACGAGTATAGGCCAAAATACAATGTACTGGTCCTGTTCTTAACAAACTTGTGAAAAATATAAGCTTGTTTTTTCACATCTAAAATACACCCGACAAAAGAAGCACATTCTTATCCCTTGTCCGTATCATCATGGCTTTGAGAATTCCCCTTGATAAATGTGCTCGGTTGAAGAAAAAGATCATGCATTTTTACCATCTTTGCACACCTCCGGCCAGCATTTCCCACTGCAGAGGCATCTGGCAGTACTATTTTCATCATGCTTTCTCCGCCGCATCTTAAAGTGTTGTCTCACCATGCATTTCATTTACTACGTCTGTAGTGGCGTAACACGCGCAGGGTTTGTAAACAGCAGTTGCATTACGTATGGGGTTGCAGACAGTGAGTTCAGCTAAGGATAAGCATGTGCAGGCGGGTGGCCTGGGTGACAGCAGACAGGGAGACGCCAGCAATTAGGGAAAGATGCAGTGATTGGCTGGCTGCAAATGCAAACGCGGAGTAGTCGCCACGGAGGCAAGAGATCTTGGCGAAAAGGGGGAGAACACGTGGGGGAGAACACGTGCGTGAGGCGTGGGGAGGACGCCGGCTTAATGAGGTTCCATCTGGGGGCACTTAGTGAGGAGGAGGAGGATAAAAGGGGAACGTGTGAGCCAGAGGGGTTGAGTTGGTTGTAGTGAAGACAAGAGTGAATTCAAGAGAAGTCCGGGACCCCGTTCTCCACACCTCGTCCTCTCCAGCGGTGTTGGCTGATCCCCCGCTGGAGGCAAGGGTGAGGTTGGAGGAGTGAGGGTAGATAGGCTAGCAGTAGAGAGGCTAGCAGAGTGTATAGTAAGAGGCTAGCAGTGGAGACGCTGGCAGAGTGCAACATACAGCGAGGGAAAAAAGTATTTGATCCCCTGCTGATTTTGTACGTTTGCCCACTGACAAAGAAATGATCAGTCTATAATTTTAATGGTAGGTTTATTTGAACAGTGAGAGACAGAATAACAACAAAAAAATCCAGAAAAACGCATGTCAAAAATGGTACAAATTGATTTGCATTTTAATGAGGGAAATAAGTATTTGACCCCTCTGCAAAACATGACTTAGTACTTGATGGCAAAACCCTTGTTGGCAATCACAGAGGTCAGACATTTCATGTAGTTGGCCACCAGGTTTGCACACATCTCAGGAGGGATTTTGTCCCACTCCTCTTTGCAGATCTTCTCCAAGTCATTAAAGTTTCGAGGCTGACGATTGGCAACTCGAACCTTCAGCTCCCTCCACAGATTTTCTATGGGATTAAGGTCTGGAGACTGGCTAGGCCACTCCAGGACCTTAATGTGCTTCTTCTTGAGCCACTCCTTTGTTGCCTTGGCCGTGTGTTTTGGGTCATTGTCATGCTGGAATACCCATCCACGACCCATTTTCAATGCCTTGGCTGAGGGAAGGAGGTTCTCACCCAATATTTGACGGTACATGGCCCCGTCCATCGTCCCTTTGATGCGGTGAAGTTGTCCTGTCCCCTTAGCAGAAAAAACACCCTCAAATCATAATGTTTCCACCTCCATGTTTGATGGTGGGGATGGTGTTCTTGGGGTCATAGGCAGCATTCCTCCTCCTCCAAACACGGCGAGTTGAGTTGATGCCAAAGAGCTCAATTTTGGTCTCATCTGACCACAACACTTTCACCCAGTTATCCTCTGAATCATTCAGATGGTCATTGGCAAATTTCAGACGGGCATGTATGTGCTTTCTTGAGCAGGGGGACCTTGCGGGTGCTGCAGGATTTCAGTCCTTCATGGCGTAGTGTGTTACCAATTGTTTTCTTGGTGACTATGGTCTCAGCTGCCTTGAGATCATTGACAAGATCCTCCCGTGTAGTTCTGTGCTGATTCCTCACCGTTCTCATGGTCATTGCATTTCCATGAGGTGAGATCTTGCATGGAGCCCCAGGCCGAGGGAGATTGACAGTTCTTTTGTGTTTCTTCCATTTGCGAATAATCGCACCAACTGTTGTCACCTTCCCACCAAGCTGCTTGGCAATGGTCTTGTAGCCCATTCCAGCCTTGTGTAGGTCTACAATCTTGTCTCTGACATCTTTGGAGAGCTCTTTGGTCTTGGCCATGGTGGAGAGTTTGGAATCTGATTGATTGATTGCTTCTGTGGACAGGTGTCTTTTATACAGGTAACAATCTGAGATTAGGAGCACTCCCTTTAAGAGTGTGCTCCTAATCTCAGCTCGTTACCTGTATAAAAGACACCTGGGAGCCAGAAATCTTTCTGATTGAGAGGGGGTCAAATACTTATTTCCCTCATTAAAATGCAAATCAATTTATAACATTTTTGACATGCGTTTTTCTGGATTTTTGTTGTTCTTCTTCCGTCTCTCACTGTTCAAATAAACCTACCATTAAAATTATAGACCGATCATTTCTTTGTCAGTGGGCAAACGTACAAAATCAGCAGGGGATCAAATACCTTTTTTCCTTCACTGAAGCAGGCTACCAGAGCGAGAGAGAGCAAGCGAAGCGTAGCAGACGAGCAGTACAAGAGGAAGAGTTGCGACGGAGTCACGTGGCCTTGAACGCGATGAGTTCTGTACGAATAAAGCGACACAGGATCAAAAGAAGTTGTCCGTGTGAAATAACACCACTACACGTCTGTAACCATATATAAACCGTGCAGTGATTACGCTGACACTGACATTCTTCATCTTTGCTTTACTTGATGACAACAGCCTTCTCGTGTGTGTCACGTGCTCCCAACAAGTAGGCAGTAATGTGGAGAAAAGGTATATTTTCTGTCAACCACATGGGTCACCCACGGGACATGGGGCTCTGAAGAAACCGCAGGGGGGAAAGTCACTCTTCCTTTAGGTTCAGGGGCTGCCAGCCACAAATGCTCGCTGTGATCTGAGGATGAGAATGGATGGGGGTTGAATGTGATACCTGTGTCTGACACCGACCTGGATTGCACTTCCCCAGGAAGCGGACCTCAATGAGCTGTTGCTTCATGCAGGACGCCTCCTTCACCAGGCAGGGGTTCTCATACGACACCCCATCTGACGCGCACACGGGGTTGGAGTTGTGTCCCGTGCAGTCGATGTTGCACACGCACCTGCTGGCCAGAGGCACGTGCAGTCCATCAAGCGGGGGGGGGGAAGGTGGCCTTGGGGTTATGTAGGGGTCAGGGAGAAGGGAATACTGTGGAGATTAGAACATCTGCTGGAGTGATGGAAAGGCACAGGTGGGAGAGCGTGGATAAGATGAGAGCCTTGACAAATAATGTATGATCCTCCCTCTGAACATGGCAAGCCATATCTTAGCTTCTGAACTTAGTGCATTTAATCAATGGTTTTTATATGGTTTCCTTGAAGTAAAATGTTGAAAAAATAACCATTCCATCATAATCCGCTTGGACACATGTTTTGACAGGCCCGAATCACATGTGCAGGTGAGGTGGATATAACTCTTATGTCACTGCAAATAGTCAGGAGACTGGATCATAAGTCAAATACGGTGTAACTTTTGAGCTAATCGCCCCATTGAGAGAGGACACACCCCAGCTATTTGTCTAGATACCTTGCCACAACAGTAACCTTCACAGAGCAGCACAGGAATGTGATGTTTTTTTCACGCTCGAGAAAAATATAGGGCCTGATTCATGTGTTAGCAGAAACAATTTTTGTACAGATTTTCAACAACAAAAAAACACGGAAAGAAAGCAACGATTGGTTTCTTTTTTCACCCAATTCAGGTGGAAACTGCTTTCACTGCCAACACACGACCTGGCCTCATACTTTTTTAATCTCTGCCAAAAAACCTCGACTCATAATAGAAATTTGAGGGTCAGCCACGATGAAGCACATGCATGTTAAAGAAGCTGGAAGGTTCATTACCCAATATCCTCAGCATCCTCATCGCATTCAGATCCGTACAGGCAAATCCCACATTTGGTCGACTTTCTGTAATGTTCCGACCCGGACCCCTCGTAGTCGGCTGTGAATAGAAAAATGTTTCTTTTATGTAAGTATGTTGAACTTCTTTTGCACCCAACGTAGCTATCTGTGCTTATCAGAGTGTTTGGGGAAGAACAGCAAACTAAACACAAAAAGCAGTTATAAAGAAATGAGTTTTCAATCTAGATTTAATTGCATAGCTGCAGTGGCTTCCTAATCCATAACACAGGTTTCTTTGGGGAGTTATATCGCATACATATAAATGTGTCATTAAACCCGCCACTAGTAACGAATTGCCATGTTCTGTTTACTTGACAAACCTTACCTATTTGCTGTGTCAGGTGGTGGCGGGTTTAAAACCCCTATATTGTGGATGATATTGCTCGTGAAAAGCCAAAGTGTTCAAATGGCTGCCTAATGTCGGAAGGAAGAGCGCGCCAGATGGTTACTGAAGCGCACGTGAAAAGCGCGCGATGCAGTGACCGTCTTTGTTTGATGGCTAGTCCAAAGCCGCATGTGAAGGACGACTGGAGTTCGCTTGATGGTTTATGCCCCTTGACGAGATCAGCAAGGTATCGCGGTTCGTTTGTGGCGAGCACTTGGTGTGCGACGTGAGTGCGACCTTGTAACGTATTCGTTTGGCAACAGAAGCCCAACGCAACTCGGCGAGTGCTTCGGGGGGGCGTTCCCCTGACACAGCGCCGACATTCACATCGCACTGCGGCAAGCGAGAAGAGTTCGCGCAACTGCGCCGAAAGCGAAATGTCTTTCGCTGTGAAGAGGCCCCAACGAAACGTGCCACACGGGTGGTGGGATACACCGTGTACAATAGTGCCCGCGAATGAGAGAATAATTATCTCTTTCAAGTCGAAAATTGGTACCATTGGACATTACGTGTATTTGATGAGAAACTCCATCCTGAACATGCGCAAATTATTACAGTTGCACTGTGCTGTAAATATTTCATGAATAGGCAGAAGATACGTTGTGGCGTAATATCAAAAAAATTGAATGAAACTCCCAAATTTGTTGAATCATTGCCCATCTCTTCCATTTTACACATACTCTAATTGTGTTGCAATATTTCGATTTGAAGTTTTCGTGACTGCAAGGATTAATCTTCTTTGGTTTTTTCGGTACCGAAAGATACTAGATGTTAATTTACATATAATGAGTGAATATATATTCACTCATTGAATTCAGAGGGCTTGTACTATGGCTGAACATTTAATAACAGCAACTATTGTAGCAAGAGACAAGCACCCACCTCCATTACTTGATCCGGAGCCGAGTTCTGAAATAAAAGAGAAAACAACTTTTAACAGTGAGACCTTCCTGAAAAAGGTAAATTGTGCCAAAGTGCACTCATGTGTAGTTTTATCCAAAGAGGATATGAATAACCTGTATATGTCAGCTAAATTGTAGAAATGACTGCTTAAACTCTGTTATCGTCCATCACTCTCGCACAGAGGAAGTTATTTATGCTTGTGCTGGGGATGATTATACTCATTTTATGGCAGATGGACGGTGACATGGCCCAGCGGTAGTGCGTTCCCCATTTGTTGAAGAGGTTCACGGTTAGATGTCCATACTGCGGGCATATTAACCATACAACTCACGCGTCGTCTACTTCACAGTGGCCATTAAATATCCTAGTACAACATTTGCACGAGTAGGCCATTGTGTGTCAATGGTCATGGTCCAAATCTGCACCTTCGATTAGCACGGTTGGCTACGACAGTGTGAAAGAAGTTCAATATACGTAAATACATCAATTGAAATTACAGTATTATTTAGTTCCAAAGAATCCAATTGGAATATACATAGAAATGATTGCCTCCGACTGAATTAAATTGGCAGGGTCTTCCAAAAAAATAGTCTTGAGGCTCAGTGAGCCATTTCTGGATAAGCAAGCACAATACATAATAAGATAAAGTAGATATTGCTGGTTTGGTGTAGAAGCCAAGGTAAGAGTGTCCTGGCAGTGTTGTTGAGAATTTAAATACTCAAAGCAGGGCCATAACTCTCTCTTTTGATGGACTATGGAAACCTCTGTGGAAGATAAAAATAGATTAGTCTCGGTGGAATAACATAATTTAAGGCAGGAATAATATCTCTATTAATGTATGGATTACAGAGCTGGATACTAACTCAGCAACTAAAAAATAATTTATAGAATTTTCAGCAAAGGCGATAGAAATGTTGTGGCAAAACAGGATGAGCAATGCAAAAGTCCAGAAGAGACCAATACAGGTGAGTGTTGTAGATATGCAAGATGGGGGAGGGCCAATTAGAGTTATTTCCATGAGTCTGGCAACTAGGGGGAAGACCTAAGACCAGATTAGTGGGATACTGCTTGACAGATTTTGGGTGTTGGGCATCTACTGTGCAGCAGTTCTGGGATCTGACGGAGGATAGAAAACGTTGGTAAGGTGCGGTGGCATCGATGACATCTTGATCTTGGTAACTATAAAATATAAAGTTATACAATACCATACATCCACACGTGTGTTTTGGAACACGTGCAAAAAGGTGCAAAATTAGGGTCACGTGAACATTAAATAACTCTTGAGCAGGGAGGCAACGAGGTGAAGCCAAGTAGCATGAAAATGTGTCAAACTGAGAGGCTTAAAGGAAAGGCATTTGGGCTCACCCAGGCAATCAATAGCATCACTGTGTGGATATGTATTTCCTGAGAGCTCCCATGGGAATAGACATTTTAGTTTGTCGGGAATGGTGGTGCATGTCTGTACACCCAGTGCTTCGGAGACATGGGTTGATAGATCATCCAGATTCAAGACAATCCCAAACGCACTGGCTGCAAGATGGTCAGGAGATGGCAGCATAGCAAATAAGTTGCTGATGTGTACTGATGTTTGAGCATTGTCCCCTTGTATGTGTGTTTTCTCTGAGTTCTCCAGTTTTGTCCCACACACAAACACACATGCTTCTCAATGGAGATTATCAAACGTCCCAATGCAATACTCATTAAAGGCAAAAAGGCTTTCAGAGATAAATAACAATGATAAATATAATTAATACATGAATGTCCAAACAAATAATCAAAATTAAATCATACTGCAAAGTAATCTGTCTTAAGACCTCTTCAGAAAACTGGATTTAAATGTTCCATCGATAAAAGTTAAACGAATACAATGGAAATGTCTTCAGCAGAAACTTTGTTTAGGGCTTTATCTTCACAGAAAATGCTTTTGATGAGCACACAGGAGATGTCAAAGCTGGAGCAGTGAGAGGAAATTAGTAGTTACATGCGGGTCTTCCGCAGCGCATGATAAATTATGAATGTGCGTATTAGTTGACACGGATCTGACATTGCTGCCACAGCTATAACTGACACTTTCAGTGTGCACTCACCAGCATATACAAAGCCGGAATTCCCCATGCATGTACTTTCTATGTAATTCGATGGCAGTTTGCAGCTCCAATCTCGAAGCACTTCTGGAATGCTTTTCCAGGGACCAATCACTCAACCAAATAGGGCATTTGTGGGTGTAAAAAGACACTTGTGGATGGAAATGAGCCCTGTACCATAATTTTTTTACGTTAAAGCCGCTTTGGAAGAGTCGAAACTTGTTACTCTCTTGGGTCTTAAATTATCCATGAAATATAACCAATAGGATGACCATAAATTATATACATGTTTTGTTTAAATATGCCTCCTCTTTAGTGCGGTTTTTGTTCATATTTGTCATACATTTATATAAAAAGATGGTATTATACAATGGTGTGGCCTTTTTAGAAACGGGCATTGACTTATTGGCCTTCTTATTGCTGAACAGAGATTGAGATGGCAATGGTGAAACAGGTGATGATGATTTGGAGTGATATTGAATGATACAGTGCTTTGCAACATTCTATATATGAACGTTTGTGCTTGCGCTGCTGCTAACCATTATTAGTTTACAAGTCACACAGCTCAATTCACATCAGAGATGAAGTTGGATAGGTGCTCATTTTTTTGGCAATAAAATAATATAACGTGGCATGCAGTAACATAATTATTGTTTAGATACTATTTTAAAATATATCAGGATCTTAAGTTACTTTTTAAAAGTGCATAGTAAAGGGACATTATGAGTTCAAAAGTTCAATAAAATGTCCATCACTTTATTGTAACATTTCTCTCTTGTGTATACACGTTTTAATATGTCCACAGATGCAATGCTTTTTTGTGTGCAGTTGCTGGTGAGAGCCTGTCTAAAAGTGATTTAAATATATAGTGTAGAGTGCCAATCAGAATAATAATTTGCAGTAGGAAGCAAAATTAAAAGGTAAGAGCATTTATAATCATTGTTTAGAGGACATTAATCCTACAATAATGAGTTGTTAAATGCACAAGTCTTGACATCATTATCCCGGCTTGAATATGTATTCTCATTATTTCCTATATGTGTGTAGCAAAGTTCTTAACATAGCAGCCTATGCCTAACATCTGTATTTCTGTGATTCATCTTAATTTCGCGTGCATGGCCTTGTTCTCTGTGTATGACTACGTTGACCACTATTCATCATGTGAGTCAAAATAATGAGGATGAGACAAAGAAGAATGAGACCCGATTGATGTTAAAACACTGTTAATGCCATGTTTTGGCAGCAGGGAGGACATGTTGAGCCGACCCATTACTGTTTTATGATTTGACTCATGGGTGGGTGAATTTGCTTTGTATTGCATACCAAGAGCTAGATCTGAGGTGGGGCTTTGTTGGGGGCTTTGAGCTATGTTTCCACTGCTGGTTCAAGCCTCATGATAAATGCCACGCACGTAAAGTGTTTGCATTAAAATGCTCATTACATGATACTTTAATCATACGTGAGACTACAAAAGTGCACAATTAAAAAATTAAATAAAATTAAATAAAATAAAACAAAATTGAAAAAAACTAAAAACTTTTGTTTTCATTTTTGTTTGATTTAATTTTGTTTTATTTCTACCTACGTGACTTTACCGAAAGAACCAAAGAGTATGGATCCTTGCAGTCACGAAAACTTCAAATCTAGAATGAATGCACAATTTAACACAAGGTTGCACAGCGAGATATACCACTACAGTGTTCAGAAAAAAGATTGTCCTACCCGTGGTCAGTGATTTGAAACGTACTGACAAGCGAGTGGTCGCTGCTGCTGCATGATGCATTGTTTTGACATATTTCAGGGGTCTGCAATAGAACGTTTACTTGGGGTGTAATGATATATTAAGGCATAGATAAAACATGATGTTCGTCTCTCCCACATACAGTCACGATGTATGGATTTTAATTTATTCTTATGCTCACGGTGATTACATTGAATAATGCAGGTGACAATCCATAATTTCCTTTTGCATACAGGTTTATGTAACCACAACTGCCACAGAGGCTGCTACATTCACGACAATTAATATTGTTTTATGCTGGACTCAAATCGTGACCGTGAGTCATGACAATGTATCATATTGTAAAGGGGCAAATTGTTAGTTACGGGAAGACCATTTACTGAACATGGAAAGGTCTTCCATCCTATGTGTGACCTGGCCTTGGAGCATATGGTTGGAGGTTGGAGACTTTTGTAAATTGAAAACTCCTGGCCAGAATGATGCATTGGTTCACGTGTTGTACCTTACTGCTGACATTGTTAGTATCTGCCTTGTTTTGCAGGGTCCTCTTTCGTATGGAGATTACAGTTTGTATTTTTCATGGCCCGCATATTCGTAGCATTTTTCAAATGGGGCATTGTTAAGTTATAGAGATGGTGTACATCAATTAGCACATTATTAATGCTCAAGTACATACATAATTTAATTTGCTGCACAGTCAATAAATGATAGAATAAAAAAACTAATTGATGTGCTACTAGATTTCAATAGGCTGCAAATTAATGGATGCATTGTCTAATTAATTAAGGCAATGTGAAACTTTACAAATGCCTTGAAAAAGTAACTAAAACGAGACGTTAGATATGCATGTTCAAGAACAATCTTTTTAGACTGATACAAGGATACATAATCCTGATACATTGTTTGAATCTATATTATTGTAATGCATCATAGCATAGTTTGTATAACAAACAAAACAACTGATGTATGTATATTCTTGGTTCAAATGTTTCTTGCCGTTGGTTTTCACACCTGATGATCACTGTTTGTGTTACAGTCGAAACGTCGTGAGAATTTTATTGTTATATATTTTATTATTTTATTGTTTCCCTTCAACGTGACTTTACCGAAAGAACCGAGAATATGAATTACTGCAGTCACGAAAGCTTTAAATCAAAACTGATGTATGGTTTAGGTGTCTATTGACGTACATCTACATTAACCATGCAGTAACAGTTGTATTTGTGATTTGTAATTTAAGTACAGTAAGCCCTCTTGAAAAAGAGAAAATTGGAAGGATTGAATTTAAATGAGGGCCAGCCTCTGAAATGTAATCCTGTACCCTAACCCTCACCTGCATGTCCCACCCCAGCCAATTAAGCCTTAACGCTTAATGTGTTGAATATCTTAATTTGTAGTAACAAAATACCTGAGTATGTTTTTGGTACATTTAAGTACAAAAAATGACATATTTTACACATAGAGTACTTGGTTTTAAATCACATTTAAATCCCTGCATTCTATTGGTATTAGAATTACACAACAATGAGTGTAGCATCTACACTACCTGGCAACAAGCACACCGTTTATTCAAACAAGAACTCCAAAATATTCACAGGAACATTTTTTAAATAAAAAATGAAGGCCATCGGAATTAATGAGAGGCATAAAAATATACCAACGAATGCTCTTCGCTGCTTTTTGCTTTGCGGTTGTGCAGAAAATATCCTAGAATATGAAGGTGAGGCAAGGAAAGAGGCATTGTCAAATAATCGGTTGTGCTCAGGGCCTGTCAGTTGCTGTGTCTGCTGGCATCACAGATAAATGAAGGGCCATGAATATAGCGTAGCTAAACGGACAATACCAGGTCTTCGCGGTTGTGCTGCGTATCTCTCCGATGCGTTTTCGGGCTGTGCCATGTGTTTCCCAGCAAGGTGTTTAATTGCTGAAGAGGTTCTCAGCACATGGAGCGAAACGTTGGGCAAAATACCAAACAACACATGGTACATCCAGAGAACACATCGATGAGCTTTACTATGGTTCGTCTGGTGGTGCCCGGCACAAGCGTGTGGATGTGCCGTGTGCGTGTGTACGAACATACACCCTCACCGGTGTAACAGGGTCCGGGCGCAGCTTGAGTGATGATGCGCTGCAAGCGACACGCTGTCTGGCGCAGGTGGCACTCGTTCTGGTAGCTTAGTCCGTCGGAGCCACACACTGGCACAACATCTGGGAAACACTGTTTGTGGGTGGGCGGTGTGGACAGAGGAGAGAGGAGAGAGACACGTGGGTTGGTAAGAAGCGGGGGATCTATGCTGCAGGTAACAGGCAACCCTCCCTATCTAACTTGGTTGTGCATTGTACTGTAAATAGGAAACACAAAGTAATAGTCTACTTTGGAGTAAACATGTGCATGTTGGTTGTGATTGCACGAAGCATCATGTAAGGGTTTCTGTACAGATAAACTCAACACACTCCTGGGCAGTGGCATGGCTTATCGGCAGAGCGTTTGCCACTTGTTGCAGCGGTTCACAGTTTTAATCCATTAGTGGCCCTGATATTCGCCGCGGGTGTAATAACCAAAATAATATGCGCCATAATACATAGAGCCCCTGATGTAATTTCCAAGAGTGGGTCATTGTATGCCAGCATCAGGGTCCATATTTGCCAAATTTGACAATAACCCATAAATTACTCAATTGGGATTATATATGGCAGTCATAACCCCTTCAAGCAGCCAAATGCCCCAGGTCACTCTTGCAAATGAGGCTATCCTGTTCCCTTGAGTTTCTCACCTGCTTTAACAAAATACACTTGAAACTCTTAAACCGAATTCTAATCATGCTGATAATTAACTTTCATTTGCTCTAATCAACTTTCCGATAGGGTGCAGTGAAGTATTTCTAGTTTGTGTTTATTCACATGATAAAACACCTCTATCAGAGATAATAGCCACAGTTATGGGAGTACAGAGCATGATTTGCATAGATGACTATGATTACGCTGATTGTGTGTAAGGTGATGCCAGTGCAATCATACATAATACCTCATTGAGGATTGCGAATTTGTTCTACTGGACAACTTAACATTACAGTTTTAGACATCATATAATTATTCTTGTTTTCATCCATTAAAAAGGTGTTTAAGGAAAGACTGTCCTCACTCATGATAAACTATTGCAGACCTTTACAGCTGGAGAGAACTTCTAAATAAACCCAGGCATCAGCTAAATGATTCCACAATCTATTATTGTAGGCCTCATTTAGGCAATGCATTTTTCATTACAGTATTGTTAGTATTGGTAGCTCACCCTTCATCAGTGAAATGAAATGCTGACCTCTCTTCATGACAATTTGAACATTAATTACTTTCCTTCGTCCGGTTCGTGACGCATTCCTGGGGTGGTCAGTGTCAGTGCAAGGGCATGACTATGTGCGCTTGGGCCAGCAAGACTGACTATTGCCAGCATTGGCTGTGTCAGCTGTCAGGCTCTTTGCTATTCTCAGCAGGATTCAGTACGGCCCACTTGGCACTGAGGCCTTTTTGAGTTTCTACTCTGATGAAGTTTTATATCGCTGTTGACTTTGGAGAAGCAGTCACTCATGCGGTCGAATGGCACGTGCGAATTGTGCCTGCATCAAACAAAGCTCACGGCATCGAATGCGGCATACGAGCCTCGCCTGGAGAAAGGGCATAGACGCGGAGCCAACCACGATTTACTTTTCAAGCTGGCACACGTAGTTTGTAAATGGGATTTTGTTGTTTGTAACAAGCAGTGTTTTTAAAACTATAAACTATTTTTTATTTTACCAGATAAGGTCCACTGAGCTATATAAATATTTTTCAGAAGCGACCTGGCCACAAATGATAGCTCAACGAAGCGGCTTATCACGTGGAAAAATATAGCAGGAAAATACTCTAAACGTGTGATTCCGAACGTGGAGGGAAAAATCAGAGGACCCGGAGAAAAGTCCACGCGACCACGGGAAGAACAAGAAAACTCCTGTATACCAGGCAAGGTAGTTAACATCTCACCACCGTTGTGGCAAGATGTTAATTACCTCGCCTGGTTTTAATGAATAACGGCCCTTACATCTGTAAGTACATGTAAAATACAAATTGAAATGACATGAGTAATTGATTTTCATGTAACTTTTATGAACAGTCATTTAAAATTGCACTATGAAACATAAATTTTGGTTTGCCATTGGAACACCCAATCCTATTTACTGGAATGCTTCCTATAACTGAAGAAGTCAGTTGAAGGCATCTTGGTCGGCACCAGACAGAAACTCACTGTGCCTACGCTCCCTTCTCATATATGAATCCCTGGCTCCTCTATCCAATTCTCCAACCACATCAAGTTCCTCGGCAAAACTCTGGACTCCACCTTATCTTTTGACAACAACTCCAAACACATAATCAGATCTTGCAACCACCACCTCAGGGCCCTCTGTCATTTATATCCCCTCACCACCACCGAAATCGGCAATAGCCTCACTCAGGGACGGAGCCAGGATTTCAGGCCGGGGTGACATTCAAGAGTCAGGCTGTTGAACTAGACGCCATCGGTTGGCGACACACTCTGACAATGCAGTTGCACGGAGTCCGCCAAACTGAGTGTCGTACACTTACACGCAGAATGTGACCCCTGTCACCCCCCCTGGCTCCGCCCCTGGCCTCACTTGCAGCGGTGTGCCACGGTGGCGAAATATTAACTCCCTTGCCTGGTATACAGGAGGTCGTGGGTTTGATCCCAACCCTGACAGCTGTATATTTGGAGATTGCATGATCTCCCCGTGGTCGCGTGGATTTTTCTCCGGGTCCTCCGATTTTTCCCTCCACTTTTACAAACATGCATTGAGAGTATTCGGCTGCCATGCATTTCCACGTGATAAGCCAATTCGTTGAGCTATCATTTGTGGCAAGGTTGCTTCTGAAAAAGCTGTTGCTCAGTGGCCCTTCCTTGGTAAAATAACAAATAGTTTAGTTTAGAGTCGGGTCCTACTTTAACTTCTTTTTTGGTCTTCATCGAGTAATCTCAAAATGCTCCATCGGTTGCAGAACCATCTCACCCACACCGTCCTCAGTGCCTGACATCCTCAGCAACAATTATCTCCCCTCCATCCGCTCCCTCCACTGGCTTCCCATCGCTAACAGGGTCAGCTACAAGATTACCTGCCTGTGTCACCGCACCTCTACATTGAGTTGTCCACCATATCTTTCTTCACTCCTGAACTGTTTGCAGCGTAACTCACAACCTCTCTATACTCGGGACCATGGTCACTTTCAGATATCATTTCTCCAATGCAGCTCCTGCCGTCTGGAATGCCAACCCTCTGCACATTCGTACCAGCATTCAATCTACACCGACTTTCAAGATACACTTAATGGCTGCACCTCTTACGCCTGGCTTTCGAGTGTCAATGAGCTTGGCTCCATGCCTCAGAGGCACGGTCCAGAATATGAATTATAAGCGTGGGAAGGGGAAAGAGGCTTAGCTACCCCTAGCTGAGGAAACTTCCCATGTATGAGTCTGTCTCTCTGAGGATACAAACTGTCGCTTAGTCTTCACACAGCATTCTTGGCATTTAACGTTTCTCTGCAGTCAAATAACTCAGGGAAAGAAAAACAACTTTCAGGAATCAATTTCAGAATCAATTCCACGAACAGAAAAAAAACTGCTGCTAAGGTGAGTTCATGAGAACAGTTCCGTCACCCCACTGAGATAGGATGGCAAGTGAGTGCAAGATACGATAATCTCGTTGTTTTATCTGAATGTATTGTCAATATGCACCTCATAAATACCTCTAGGACTGTAAGTATTCTTAATACAGTCGCCATGATATCGCAACATAAATACCCGATGCGTCCAATTAGGGCACACGTTTGTACGGATGACTTGAGATAAAAACCAAACGGGAGTAAATTGATAATATGTTCTTTTTCTATTTCAGGATGTAAAGGCTCAAGTTTTCTAAAGCCCTAAAAATCCAGATGAGAAAGTGTTGCTCTTAACACCCGCAGGAACACTACATATATGTACATATAGTACATATATGTAGTGTAATAGCACATGAGGTGGAGCAGTGGCACAGTGGTTGGCACTGTGCTATGAACCTTTAGACCTGATAGTGATATCTGAATCAGTCCTGGGCACTCCCGAGTCCCACCACCCTGCCCTCCACCGCTCAGTGACCAGCACAGTAAAGTATGGTCAAACAACCCCCATGACCAACATGGTGTGGGGATGCCTCCGTCTAGCAGTGGAATGAAAACTGGCATGAAAATAATTAATTATTACAGTCATTAAAATATATTATTAAAAAAAGCACACGACGGTTATCATCAGTGTCCTTACAGTGAGGGAAAAAAGTATTTGATCCCCTGCTGATTTTGTACGTTTGCCCACTGACAAATAAATGATCAGTCTATAATTTTAATGGTAGGTTTATTTGAACAGTGAGAGACAGAATAACAAGAAAATCCAGAAAAACGCATGTCAAAAATGTTATAATTGATTTGCATTTTAATGAGGGAAATAAGTATTTGACCCCCTCTCGTTCATAAAGATTTCTGGCTCCCAGGTGTCTTTTATATAGGTAACGAGCTGAGATTAGGAGCACACTCTTGAAGGGAGTGCTCCTAATCTTAGCTTGTTACCTGTATAAAAGGCACCTGTCCACAGAAGCAATCAATCAATCAGATTCCAAACTCTCCACCATAGCCAAGACCAAAGAGCTCTCCAAGGATGTCAGGGACAAGATTGTAGACCTACACAAGGCTGGAATGGGCTACAAGACCATTGCCAAGCAGCTTGGTGAGAAGGTGGCAACAGTTGGTGCGATTATTCGCAAATGGAAGAAACACAAAAGAACTGTCAATCTCCCTCAGCCTGGGGCTCCATGCAAGATCTCACCTCGTGGAGTTGCAATGATCATGAGAACGGTGAGGAAACAGCCCAGAACTACACGGGAGGATCTTGTCAATGATCTCAAGGCAGCTGGGACCATAGTCACCAAGAAAACAATTGGTAACACACTACGCCGTGAAGGACTGAAATCCTGCAGCGCCCGCAAGGTCCCCCTGCTCAAGAAAGCACATATACATGCCCGTCTGAAGTTTGCCAATGAACATCTGAATGATTCAGTGGACAACTGGGTGAAAGTGTTGTGGTCAGATGAGACCAAAATGGAGCTCTTTAGCATCAACTCAACTCGCCGTGTTTGGAGGAGGAGG